ATAACTTTCATGGAGGTGAGGAGACAGTTATCATCCTATAAGGTCAAACCTTGATCACTATGATCCCAAGTGTGATCTGGTATTGACATGCAATGCCTCCCCTTGCAACACGTGGGTGGTATAAGCTCATAGTTGGCCCAATAGAGAGAAACATCCTATAGCATACGCATCCAGGACTTTGGCTAATGCAGAGAGTTATTTCAATTACCTCCTGTCTGGAGCTAATCACGTGCCTGGTCCCTATACTCCTGAGTCCCAGTGGGCTGGGGAACTTCTTAGCCAGCTGTAGCACTGTCTCGGTGAGGTCCCATACTTTCTAAGCCCAATGTTTTCCCTGATGTGTCAGTACTTGACCTGCTGTGGGGAATACAGGAGGCAGGCTTGTCAAATTTTCTCTGAGGACTCCATATTCTTGTCAGCAAAAATTGAGATGGAGCAATCTTAGGGAGTGGCTGATTCACTGTGGAGGTGGTGGATGTGTTGGCAGGACCTGCAAGACAAAGAGAAGCCATCGCAGCTAGTGGTTAGAAGTGGTGTACAATGAATGTGACTGGTGGGGTTTCAATGAGAGAGTTACAGTGGAATGAAAAATGGAACTTAATCAGTTGATGGGACGTTTCAGTTTTGTTCTGTTTTCCTGCAAGAGACAGCTACTGTCTTTGTATGGGTGAAGAGCCCAATTTTGGGCATCCCTTCACCTGTACAGGCTCTCTTTGCCCTATTCTGGGCTGTTCTCTCCTCTAATGAGAGAAAGGGAAGAATTGGCTGAGATGAAGTGGGTGGCACATTTTGTTAATCCTGGTGCAAGTTGTTGAACAGTGATGAGGTGCCTTGCCAAGTAAATAGGCTGCATGGAGGACATGCAGGGTTAGTGGAGTTTGAAACTGGGTGAGGGAAGATGTTGCAGACAACAGTGAGAGAGGTAAAGTATGAGTCTCGTTGGGAAGTGGGTACAGTACCAGTGATTAAGTGCGTTGTAGCAGAGGATGGCGTGGTGGCTCAGTGGTTAACACTGCTGCCTCACAGTGCCAGGGACCTGGGTTCAATTCTACCCTCGGGTGACTGTTCAATCTCCACACAGACATTCTCACCATCTGCATGGATTTCCTCCGGGTGCTCCTGTTTCCTCTCGCAGTCCAAAGATGTGCAGGTTAGGTGGATTGGCCATGCTACATTGCCCCATAGTGCCCAGCGATGTGCAGGCTAGATGGATAAGCCATGAGAAATGTAAGGTTACAGGGATGGGAGGGTGGTGGATTTGGTTGGGATGCTGTTCAGAGGTTCCGTGTGGACTTGGTGGGCCAAATGGCCTGTGTCACCCTGTGATCTGTTACCGAGTGGCACTTTTACCCTGGCACAGTGGAGATGGTCATGGACCTTCTTGCCTTTCATCTGCATTGTGGAGACAGCCCTGGGCGTTTGGTCTTGTCATGGCCTTCTCTTCCAGTTCTCTGGGAAGAAGACTCTCTTTGTGCCAACCCTTTGAGTGGAATCTCTGCGTCCCTGTTGGAGAAATGCAATGCCATCATCCCCTTCTCCTGCATCTTCTGGAGATATCCTTGATCAAACATGGCAGCTTCAGAATGCTGGTGTTCATCCAGGTGCACTGCAGCCTTTTTTTGTGGATGAAAGGGATGGCAGTGTTTCAGCAGATATCCGAAGAGTGGCATTTCAGTCTGGGAACAGTGTGTGGTAAGATGTGGCTGGAATTGAAAACGAGGGTTCCAAAGAGGTGTGTTGGGTAGTTAAATGAGGTGCATTTAGTAAGATATGACAAGAAACTGTGTTAGGGCTCAGGCAGGAATCCCTCCACAGAACCTTGTGTAACTTGCACTTAGCAAAAAAAGGGCCCTAAGTATTTGAATATTTTCAGTGCAGAAGTGGGTAGATTATTGGTACACAAGGGGATAAAAAGTTTTCAGAGGTAGGTGGGAATATGGAGTCGAGGTTACAATCCAATCAATCATGATTATATTAATTAGTGGAACAGGCTCTATGGACCAAATCGTCTCCTGCTTTTAACTTTTGTATTCGTATTTGAGTGTAGAGATCTTTTGAAATAGTAGTAAGTTAATAACTAATGATTTATATTAAGGTTTAAGTACAGGAAAACATGATTGGAAATGATCTTAAGTTGAATCAAATGCTCAGCTAATGTGGGAAAATGTAACCCATTCTTTGTTTTGTAGTAATACAAGTTGTTCTATTTGAGTTGAATAATTGCCATAAATTTTGTTCCTATTGGTTTATTTCACAGGAAACAATGTATTGATTTATATCCTGCTTCATCTTGTGGATTTTTAGCTCGGACAGTTTGAAGAAGTTCGTCAGCGAAGGATCCAGTTTAAGTTACACTTAGGTACAATTGTTGCCAGTAGATCTTGAGAAATATTCTGAAGAAGGGTCTAGACCCGAAACTTCGGCTTTCCTGCTCCTCTGATGCTGCTTGGCCTGCTGTGTTCATCCAGCTCTACACCTTGTTATCTCAGATTGTAATCCAAGTCTTTGTCTTGCCACAGTATCCAGTGTTCATTCATTTTTGTCCCTTACACCCATCTGTATGGATTCTTGCTTCAGTTGAGGACCTTCTTGGGCAGGTAAGAATCTACAAAACAAAGCATGCAAGTGCTGAAATGGCTTGTATTTTAGCCAGTGTATTTATATATAAAATTAGGCATATAGAGGATGGATGCCCAAGTTAAATTCGTGATCTGCAGTTAGCTAACCTAAGCTAGGAAAGACATTGATGTCAATATTCACTGGTTAGCAATGCTTTTCTTTTAAAAGGAGAAAAACAATACTTGCACTCTGAATTGCTATCTAATTGAATGTTGGGCGAGGATGGTGACTGGATTCAGCTTTGATGTTAAATAGCTGCAGGGAACTGCTGGCGAACTTCATCTGTCACTTGCTGTAGGGTTGCTGTTACTGATCAACCTGCTGTGAATCAGCAGTTTAAGAAATGGAGTTAGTATCAGTGGATGAGGAAAGTGACCATGCAATATTTGATGCATATGTGTAGATATCTCAAGTATGAAGTAAAGTTAGTACTTTTTAATTGCCCAGCATGTAAATAGAGTAACTCTAGTCTCTGAATTCATTTACAGAATGAATCTCCAGTGCAAATCATAACTCAAAGTATATAAAAAGTAAACAGATTCCTTATTTTCCTGTCTTGAGGAAAAAAACTTAAGACTGCAATACTGAACTTAAACAAGATGTTTTGGTACAGTTGCTGCTTTTGAGTCTTAGGTCAATGTTGCAGGAAGAATGTAGAAGTATTGAAAAATTAAAGCATTAGTTCTCCTTTTGAAGAGTTATGATAGGAGATGCATAATTGTAGATTATTTCTAATGAGAAGGCACAGTAGTTAAAATTGCAAAGAATTGAATAGGATGTTCAAAAACGAATCTTGATACCAATGGCTCATTGAGGATTCTTCACATAAACAATTGTTGAAACAAGGCCCGTAAATGCAAAGTTGGAATAGAGAAAGTTTTACAAATGATGAGATGGGGAAAATGGGGGAGTTGGGTGATAAGATTGTTAGACTAGGTGGTTAATGTTGAGAGAACAAATGCACTACATTGCCTGTTTTTCTCTTGGATCCTATTGAATTACCAGCTATCAAAAGCCCTGGATAATTAAAATGCTTTTTGTTCGAATTTATTTTGGAGAGCACTTTACTTCCTTTCTTTCTTAATGTTTCTTTCCTCTTCTTCCAAGAAGTGTTAATCTGTTACCAGTCTTTGATTCCTGAAGTGCTTCTGACAGTATTTTTCTCTGTTCAAGTAATTTGTCTAAGTGGTGGATCATTTCACGTAGACAGGACAATATTAAAGACCAGTGCTATGTTCAGTTAATGACTGAATATATGCTCTTTAAAGCAGCATTCCCTAGATAAAGATTGCGATTGGAATGAGAATGCTGACTGAATTTTTCTTTCCAGAGCCAAGTGACGTTGGGGGTTGTGTGATCCACCAACCAAACTAGCTGTTTCAGTGCAGACTAAGGATCAAACCAGGACAACTTCGTGCTTTGTTTTTCTGTGTCATATGGAGAGAGATATTTAAATATAGACCTTATTGTCTTGGATGGGTCTAAAGTCTGTCTATATTCAGCATCCAGCAATTAAGTTACTGAAACAGAGCAGCAACTCAAAGCTCTCATTTTGTACACAAACCCCAGGAATAAATTTAAACATGTCATAGTTTCTCAAATTCAAGTTTGAAGAATGACCTCTTTCTCAAGTTATAGAACTTTGTGGTTGCAGAGCATAATTGAATGTGATTCTATCCAGCTTGCAGACTTCGAAATCCTTGATATTTCAAGGGCATCATTGTTTCTGAATTATTACTGAATTGGTACACTTATCTCATTGCTTACTTTACTAGTCTATTTTGGATGAAAAACGTTTGTAACAACTAGTTTTTGGTAGCATAAAACATCCATCTGAATACCCAAAATATTTGGTTGCAGTTTGCACCATGACCACTCGATTGAATTTTCACTCAACATATGTTCCTGCAGTTGTAAGCTTACCTTGAGTAGTTTTATTTTTCTGTCATTGTTGGGGTTGTCAAGTAGTGGTAAGGAAAACTTAAAAGCTTCTTATCATTTTTGGGAATCCCTAATTTTTAAAATTAAAATTGCAGAGTACAACATCACTTCACCGAATCAAGAAGATTAGGTGGTTCAGTATGGGAATTTTTTCCAAGTATCTTTCTACTTAACATTACCCAGTAGAACAAGAAAATCACAGTGGGGCAGAATATGTTGGCATTTTCTCACCATTTCCTCAACGTCTTGTTGAATCAGATTTCAAATTAACTGGATCTGTTAGATGTGTGTTTAGCAGCTATGAAAGTCTACTTTCTAATCAGTCAATTGTGAAGCAAACATTATTGTCTGACTAATATCGATAATATCAAGTCTGTAGTTTGTCTATTTTAATGGTGTTTTAGACCAGTATTAAAATGCTGCTGGTTTTGTTTCTTCAGGTGCTGGTTTACATCTCCATGAATATGCCTTATTGAATGTGGACTGGCTTGTGAAGAATGCCACTTATCTACCTAATTGTTACATTTGTTTCACACCTGTTGGAGGCGTCCGGTTTCATTATTTCCACAGAAACCAACAGAAAGAGATGGTGAATTGCTCAGAATGGGTTTTGCTTGAGCAATACAGAAATCAAATTCAAAATGTCACAGAATTTGATAACAGGTACACATTATTCAGTTCTAAATTGAATCATTTAGCTTGTGAGTTGTATTCTTTTCCCAGTTATCCCTGCTTCTCTAGAAAGAGATGATTTATGTTAGTATATACTTCCGCGGAGGGGGAGATGGTGGTGTAATGTCACTGGCCTGGTAATCCACTAGTCCAGTTTAATATTTTGGGACAGGGATTCAAATAAGAGACTCTTGTAATGCAGTAGTAGTGTCCTTACCTCTGGGCCAGGAGTTCAAGTCCCACATGCTCTAGCTGTGTGTCACAACAGATGTGAACAGGATGATTAGAAATGTCTGTGCTTTTATGGATTCTAGATATTCTTATATCACCTTTATCCAAATGATCATTTTTCATGTTTGCACCTTGACTGTGATTGTTTGCTGGTTATAGTCTAGGTCAGGATTGGCATTATCCAGTATTTGTGTTCATTTTGCAACAAGGAGCTCTGGATAGGAATGGGGAGTGGAAACAAACGGCAAAGTTTCTGCTGCTGTGGTCACCATGGATAAATTCAGCTAATTCATTGTAACCAATGATGTTACAGGGTCTTGCCTTGGGTGATAACTGGGCTTCACCTGGGGGCTTAAGGTTTAGCCTGTTCTGACCAGACCAAATGACGTTGCATCACTTCTGGCAAAACTATGTCATCAGGTGATGTTTCCAAACTCTGAGGTATAGTCTGAATTATCTTACTGAAAGAAGCATCAATATACAAATGAATATAAAGGACAAAGAATTATAATTCAGGCTCCAGAAATCTAAGCTACACAACCTCTGCGAAGCTACATTAGTCCAAATGGTGAGGAATCTAGAATAGAATACATACAGGGAATAACTGTATTGTACAGGTTATGTCACCAGCTGCATTGAATTCACATGTAAACCAAAACAGCAGCAAGAGCTACTGGAGAATATCTCCTCCAATGCTGAACTGGTCTCCTTGTAACTGCCCATCCAGTTTTCCAATGTGTGCTGCTCGGTGTAATTGAATAGGAATAGAAGTTGAAATTGGAAATGATCCCACCAACACAGCAACTTCTTCCAGACCTGGAGCTATTGACATCAACTGCAGTGCCACAACTTGTGGAAAGTGAAACCGAGCATTTGAGGAACACCAGTGGTTTATACTGACGATGATGATCCAACGAGGCAATGTTGTAAAAAGAGGCAGTGTCATCCCTAGAAGGTGGACAAGTATAACATTGTACTACAGAAACATAGTGTGCAATGGGGGAGAAATGTAACCTTGGATTTTCTCTTTAAATGTTCAAGGGATTTGGGCATTTCTGGCTGGGCCAGCATATGTTGCCCAAGCCTAATTGCCTTTGAAGTGGTGATGAATGACTTCATGTCTTGCTGCAGACTATTTAATGCATGTAGGTGCGCCCAGTGTTAAGAGAGGACTTCCAAGATTTTGAGACTGTTTGTTTCAAATTCCTAATTCACTAAATTTACCATTGTTATTCTCATTTACAAATTCTTTGGCCTTGCCCCTCTTTACTTTTGCATCCTTATGCAGCAGTGTGTTCCATTCATCTGAGTCTGGCCTCATTGCTATCACCTTTTCCTTTGCTCCTTTCAGTTGTACAGTTATCTACCACTTTTCACAATTCTTTCTAACATGAACCTCCACTTTGTATTTTCTGTTCCCATTTTCAGCCTATAGTCATTTTTCTAATTTTTCTTCTAATCCTTGATGTTAGTTTTAGGTTGTCAGTTTGTCTTAGTTGTAGTAATTTCACTTCAGTAGGTCGTGAATTCAAGCCTCTGGCCTGGATTTATGACAGTCTAGAGTAGCACTTGGGAAATGCTTTATTGTTGGAGATGCCATCTTCCAGATGTGTTAAACCAAACCCTTGTCTGTCTGCTTAGGTAAAAGTAAAAGGTATCAAGGTGCAGGTCAAGAATAGGAAAATTCTCCTGCTCTATGCCCTCATCACTTTCAGAGAAGATATTAACTTGTATCGTTATGTACAATTTAGCAGCCAGGTTTTGCCTACAGAACAGCAGTTACTTGATTTAAAAAGTATTTACTTGGTCTGCAATCTTTTGAGACATTCCGAAGACGTGAAAACTACATTTATTTAAATGTATTTCATTCTATCTTCTAGCCTGTGAAATGTTGTTCTGCTAAATTAAAAGTGAAAGATAAATAAGGATTTACCTACCACTTTTTGTTTTCTTCATTACTTTTGAAATCATCACTATTGTTGTGTTAACAAACATGTATGCCAATTGCATGCAGAATGCTGATGGCCATTGAATGGACAACTGATTAATCTGTAGTTTTGGTGGAGTTTGTTGTTGAAGACTTGGATTATTGGACAGGGTACCAAAATAACTACCCCTTGAATTGTTTATATTCCCCTGAGTAGGTAGCTGTGTCATATCTTGTTCTTGGCGCCTTAACTAAAAAATGGTACCTTCACTTAAGTATCGCACTAGAATATCAGTCCTGATTATACATTTTGACTGCACCTTCATGTTGGAAGTTACAATTTTTAAAAATTGGTTCAAGTTCCCCTGTATTTAGTAGATCCATCATGTCATATTTGAACAGAAACAACAAACATAATTTTATCAGTTAGCTTCATATTTTGAGTCAGTATGGTGACCAATACTAAATCGGTAGCTGAGTGTAGGCGAAACATTATCTTTTATGTTTCAGGTTCCTAAAACATTGGATACAACCACAGTAAAAGTGTTTTTAAAATCATTTATGGCCCATAATTGCATTATGTATCCACTCAATAACATATAATGCACTCAGGTTAACATAGCACATTCTGTACATGAGTGCATTTCTGTACTACTGTTAAGAGAGAGCAGTTCATTTTGGTTGTTGAAGGCAGAGTAAAAACATTCTGAATAGAATTTTTAAAAAATTTCTAATTGTTATAAGTTCATTGCCTGAAGTTCTTTACAGCTTGGTGGATAAATGTATAATATGGTCTCCAAGATTTTACAATTGGTGAGCTTCAGGATCAGTTCCTTTTTTCTACATCTGTTAGCAGCAACAGTGTGGGTTACCAGGGAGATGAAGAAAAGTCACCATGACCATTTCAACTTACCATCTCCATCCAGGCCTTCAGAAAGCCTGTTCTGGAGAGAACCTTGAGCCCTTCCCAGTCAGTGGAGAACTCCTGATATAGAAAAAGTTCAAATAAAACCTCAGAAAAAAAGAAAAAAAAGCCCTCCAGGCATACTGCAAAGTATGCATTTAAACTAGGATTTGTAAATTTGCTTTAATGCTTCCAGTCTCCTCATCTATGGCTGTAAACATTTGGGCAAGCATAGATTAAATAAGTTCAGTTGCAAAAAAGATCTGTGCTACTATTGCTTTGAACAGAATATCAAGGATTAGCTCAAATCAAAGTAAATAAAATTAAGTTAAAAGTATTTGAAATACTCATCTGAGGGCTCAATCACTTAAAGTTTTGAGTAGCTAAGCAGGTCAGGAAAATCCTTGATTTCATTTTATATGTTCTTGGAATTCTGGCATTGGATCTAGTACTGTTGACCGGGTCAACATTTTTTGTGTGCCCCTACTTGCCTTTTGAAAGTGGTAGAAGATTCATTCTTGAAGTGCAGCAGCCTTTCTTGTACAACTGTGCTCACTGCTGAATGGGTGGGAGTTTCAGGATTTTTCCTAGTAATTATCAGTCGACATCCCACTTCCAATCTTATGTTGGAGGGAAGTTCATTCAAAGATTACCAGCAACAGTTCACACTGTGTGGGACTGAGAATGGGAAAAAATGTCTATCTGCCCCATCTTTAATATTTAATCTTCTATGCATTTCTGGTCTTTGCTGTTCTCCCTAGAATGTTATCTTGACCATTTGATGCTTTGGACCGAGCTAAAAAAGCATTTCTTCAAGGTGTTTTCACTCCCAGCAGTTTCCAATGCTGAGTACCGATTTGAGTGTGACACCTGCCTCAAGTACCCCTGCACTTTCTGTTGTGCTGGATAGCCACCCATCTATATACTGAACTTATCCTGCTTGTGGGCTGACCATCTCCTGGACTGTATGATCATCATCCCTGAATTTCCACCATGATTGCAACTGCCCTTCAAATTCAGAAATCCTGAGCTTGAACTCCAGGTTGGGGGCACTTGACACTTGCGGTCCCCTCCAAGACACATGAAATGTCCTGATTTGTCTACATATTGCAAGCAAGTGTTCCCTACTGCAAATACTACCATGAGACGCAACAAGGAAATTGATTAGGAGGAGGATAAGTCAGTTTCTACCTCATGTTGACTTTCTCACTGTCTGCGGCAGGCCCAATCTGGCAGATACTTCAATACTTCAGAAGCGTGGTGGTGCTGCTAAGCCATTTCTGATAATGTATACTTAAGTCCTCCACTTGAGTATATTGTGTGCTTGCTGCTTTGTCCCTCTTCCAAGTAGTGTTCAACAATATAGAGGAATACTCACCACCAGTTGAAGGGGGATTGAGATTTGATGCCCATGTTTGACCTTGTACCGTGACAGTAGGAGTGGGCTCAGAGTCAATCAGAGCTGCTCCTGTCCAATTCTACAATTCTGAGCTGCTTCTTGTGGTTTGCCCTGATGTTGGGAATGGACGTACCCGGAGATAGTGACAGATGAGTCCAGGACATTGACAGTCCTACACACTGAATTATACTTTATAGTTTGCTGCTTAACTAATTATTCCAATTTTGGCAAAGGTCCCCTGATGTTAATGAGGAAGACTAGACTGGTGCCTGTTTGTTGTATCCCACTGCCTTGGTCAATGCCATTCGGTCAATTCTGTTCTATTTCTATTTGTCTTGTAGTGGTTTGGTACAACTAAGTAGCTTGTTAGACCATTTCAGAAGGCAGTCAAGAGTCAGTTACATTGCTGTGGTCTAAAGTCACACATAGACACATACTTGGTATTGATGGCAATTTTCTTTTCTGAAGGATAATAATGATTCACCCTCCTAGCCAGATTGTTATCAACTCCTTTTGTCTATCCAACTGTT